GCTGCGTTGGTTCCAACATCCTCAGCATCCTCAACACAATGAAGCCCACCTGATGTTCCTCACCTGAGACCAGGACCCCCATGACACTCCTCACACCACATCTTAGCTTACAGCAACTCCCTGATGGAGCATTTGAGGTAACCTGCATGAGCATATGGATATTTCCAAAAGTCTCTTGGCACTTCAGAACACTCTCAAAGCAAGGCAAAAACTGAGCTTGTGTTCTCACCCTCTGGCTGACACAAGTTCAATGACACATTGACATTCCCAAGACAGCGAGTCCCAGAGCACCAGAGGACGCAGCATGTGGGTAAAGACTGATGGGAAGCCACTACCTGGAAGATTGTTCAGCCCCACCCCCAACACCCACCTGTGCAGAACCTTCCACTTCCAATCCCCCTCTCTGCCAACCAAACCCTGGAAACCCAAGGTTGCCACAGCCCATTGGGAAGGGAGTGAGACAGGGCTCTCTCAAGGGGGTTTCACAGGAAAGAACCCACTCACCCATCAATTCCCTCATGTCCAAGAAAGCCCCAGGTGCTGTGAAACCACAAGTCCTGCTTTGCCCACTGGCTTGGGCGAGTGGAGCAGGGCAGGGCTAATGCCACTGCTCCGAGGTCCCTGAGTGAGCAGAGCCCGGTGCTCCTGACCCAGTCCTGAACACGGAACTACGCTGACCACAGCACACAAACAAAAACTTTCCAAAACTGCGTCACAAGATCACACAGAGACAAAACACTGCAGAGTCACAGCCAGCAACTGCAGCCTTTGAATTCTTAAGGGAAGTACTTAGGAAACAATTCCCAGCCCAGCGCTGGTGCACACCTGTGCCTGTGGCACAAGCACCTTCAGCAATCCCTGTGCTCAGGTGTGTAATTAAAGAGGGACCTGTCCCACCTTGCCGTGTGCACGGGAGGGTGTGGAGAGAAGAAGGTTTAAAGTGGGTGAGATGATTAATCACAGCAGCAGGACCACGGGAAGACCCAACGTTGCCCTGTTCGTGGTAATGCAGCAGGGGCAGCTCCCTTGGGATGGGGAAGGGGAAGAGAGGGAAGAAACTTGTTTGCACAACCCTGGAAGCTGGACCTTGGAGCCTTCCCTGCTGCTCCTGCAGGACTTGGGGCTTACCCACAAGGAGGGACAGACGCCCCACAACAGCCCAACCCTGACCTCAGACAGGGCAATCCCCCCCTTTCCTGGCACCCTGAGTGTCCCTTCCCCCGGGAATAACAGCAGACAGGCACAGTCGGAGCCTCTCCCCCAGGAGCACACATGGCACTGCCAGATCCCTGCTGTAAACCATCAGCCACACCAGAACAAATACCAAACCCCACTGTTTTAAAAAAGAACTAATTTTTCTGACTCCTAACCACACTTGGTCTGTTGGAAGCCACCTCAAGTGTTCTGCCATCCCACCACGTCATTCTCTAAACCAACCAGACCCCTTACCAGCAGCAAATGCTGAAAATGGGCTGGAACAAGAGTTGTGGCTTCTGTGGAGCAGCACTCGACCCTTCCCACAACAGATGTGCACCCAAACTCCTCATTCCCAGCAGAAGCATCGCCTTGATACATTCCCTGGGAACTGCATATCCCATCTGGGGCTCAGAAGCAGCCTCAATTTCCCCCTCTGGCAACACAGATCCAGACTTTTTCACAGCAATAGATGAAAATAAAAAGCCACTTCTGCAGATTTGGCTTTAACACAACCCATCCCTCATTGCTCCTGGCAAAACCTCCTGAATGCACCCTGATAGCTCAGCCACAGATTGTTCCGTTGTTTCCCGCCTTTAACTTCACAGTGAACCACCAAAAAAAATACAATAAATCAAATTCTGCAGCCTCAATGCAGAAGTGGCTCATAACCCCAAGAAACCTCAAGGATTCACAGACCATTTCTGATTTCTGGACTTGCTGTTACTCATAAGCTGCACAAGCACAGAGTGGGTTTTCTCTCTGGCTGCTCCCTGCTTCTCACATGGTGCTTCTGCCTGTGCCATGATCCATGGCTGGAACCAGAGAAGCCGAGATCCGCTCCTGACTCCTGAGCCAGGCCTCCAGCAGCTCCCCAGGCCCTGGCAGATCCAAGGGGATGCATGGATGCCGGCAGGGAGCTGAGCCTCCCAAACCCTGGCAGCCATCACCTCTTTCTGAGCCCACCATCTGCTCTGGCAAATCCACACTCCCATTTTCCCCCTCCTGGATCCTTCTCATTCCACCAGCCCACTGTCAGCACTCCCAATTCCCATCAGCTTCCCACTGGGATTTATTTTCCTGCCCAATGCCCTGAGTGTTACAGCCTGGCACATTCACCCATCGAGAGAGGCTTAAGTTGTCTTTCAAGTTCCTCCTCCTGTGGCTTATCCCACTCTATCCCATGCTGTTTCCTGCTCACCTGCAGCCATAGGTAATTGGAATCTGTGCTGCCTCCACACCCAGAGGGCCCTGCTCAGCCTGGGCAGGAGCAACACCGTGACAAAGTTCACATTTAACTGATAACAGACTGATGGCAGTTCAGGTTACCTGATAAAACACCACATTCCAACGAATTTACTGCCAGAGGCATCTTTACCACTTCATGAAGTAGCACTTGCTCTCTTTGGAAGAGAAATGGCCCAAAACAATGAGTGCCAGCTCAGAGCAGGTGCCAGCTCAGGACGTACCAGGTGTAATGTGGGAATTCCAGGGAATGCCTGGTTTGTACTCCATCCAAAATTTTATCTTTGAGACACTTGAAATGCAGAACTGACAGAAAAAGCTGTCACAAAAAAGGCACCTCAGGAGCGAAGAGCTTTGGGAACAGGTTATCCAAACAGCGGGACTTAAAAAAGAAATAAAATAGGAACCTGAAATCGGGTAGAGAAAAGAACAAAGGTGCCGGCCCAGCAGAGCATTTATGATCCTATTCTGGGAATGAGCTCTGGGGGTGGAGAGCAGTTCAGCAGTTCCTGTGTCAGGAGAGATCCTTACAGACACAAGGAGCCTCAGCAGGACTAGGGATCAGCCTGAGCAGGGCCAGGGACTGCCTGAGGAAGGGAAAATATGTAGCATGCAGACCTGACTGAGGACAGGATTCTCCCCATAAACAAGGAGGGCAAACTCCTACATTAGAAAATTCCCATGTTCTAACATTGGAAAAGGTGAGGTTTTCTCCACCCTAACATTCATCCGTCTGGTACCTACAGCCTGTCCGAGCCTGTCTCCTGCACCCTCTGGCCTCTCCTTGCAGGGGCACCCAGCAGCTGCTTCTCATCAAAACCTCAACACAAGCTCCTCACCTGGAGGAGTCTTGTAACACAGACTCCAAAACGTAGTCAGTAGGTGGGAAACAGTCACAAAGCCCCTAAATGGCAGCAGGTGGCACACAGGACACATTGCCATGCCCCACAAAGTGCAGCCAGATCAGTGTCACTGGCACAAATCCCAGCTGTACAGGGAGAAACACGTTCAGGGGCTGGGACTTGGGCAGGGGAAGGGGGTAGTTCCAGTATCAGCAGCAGGTACATCCAAGAGCCATGGTACTGAACACAAAATATGAGTGACAGCTGTGACAGTCACTGTCCTTCACACACGTCTGTGCACATGTTCACATGTGAGAAACACAGCAACAGGTCAGAGTCAAAAGGACGGTGTGGCTCACTCTGGCACCATGGGACCACTCCAGGACCATGGCACCATGGGCACTGTCCCAGGGAAAGGCAGGGAAAAGACACCATCGTGCTCAGGTGCTGTCAGGCAGTGGCAGATCTGCTTTAGGTGTTCAACTGCACCTACCCTCTGCACTGATCTGAGCCCCCTGTGGGCACATCCATCCCACTCAAACAAGGGCTCAAACTGTTTAATATATCAAAAGAGAAGAACAAAGCTCGACCCAAGGGTAGATTTACGTTTCAGAAAGGGAAATGTGTGCTCCAGGGCAGGGTGTCTGTGGGCCTCTGCCACCAGCACAACCTGCAGGTATCCAGTTGGATTACACGAAAGGAAAAACGGATCAAATTCGGCCAAAAGGGGCAAGACACATCCCTCTGAACAGTCAGGCTGCGTGTCAACTGTGTTACTTGGCACTGGACACAAATCTCCTGCACACCTCCCAGTACAAACCAATTGCTTATGGATCTGGAGCGTTCCCGGCAGAGGCCAAAGAGGCCCAAAGCTGCAGCTCCAGAAGCGCAGCAGTGAGAGATGATGCCAAAAAATGGGGAAGAGAAAAAAAACAAAAGTCCAAGAGCTTCAACCAGCAAATTCCACAGGCGACCCCAGATCCGGCAGTGTCACCGCCAGCCGTGACAATGCCAGCGCAGGGCACGGACACCCGGCTGCACACCTGCCCTGGAAAGTCACCCCGCAGCTCTCCCACCGCTGGAAGCTGCCCGGGCCATGGAGCCCTCCCAACACAGCACAGCGTCCCCGTGCCGCCAGTCTGCAGCATCCGCACGGCAGCGGTTTGATGCTGGACAGGGGAACAGGCAGCACCCAGCCCTGGCGGTGCCGCCTCCAGACAGCCAGAAAGTCTCTCCCCTCCCCTCTCTTCTCCTCTCCCAGCCCACCGGCCCCTAGCTGCGAGCACAGCAGCCCGAGGAGTTCCGCCGCAGCTCCCTCCGGCACGGCCCCCTCGCATCTCTGCTTCCCCAAACTCTCAGGGGTGCCCAGGTCACACGCCCCTCACAGCCCGCTGCAATGTCTCATTCCACCCCCTCGGCCCTCGATTCCTACCCGGGGAGCCTCCAGCTCCGGCCCACGCCCCCGGCGCACAGACCCCGGCGTCCCCCGCAGCTCTGCAGCCCCAGGAACCCCCGGCATCCCTTTGTCCCGCAGCCCTCTCGCTGCGCTCCAAGAGTACATCCAACCCCTACAGCTGCCTCCCAGCCTCGCTCCCCTGCAGCCCGCAGCCCCACGCACGCCCTCTTCCCGTCCCACAGCCCCACAACCAACTCCCGGTCCGCGCAGAGACCCCACCTCATCTCAGATCCCTCGGTCCCCGCCCCCGGGGCCGCGCTCACCTGAGCAAGCTGGACAGCGGGTGCCCCACACCGACGCTCCCGCCGCTCCCGCCACCGCCTCCCCCCGCGGAGCCGCCGCCGCCACTGCCGCCACCACCGGAGCCGCCGAAGCCGGAGCTGAGGCGTTTCCCCGAGAGCAGCTTCTCCACGGCCGGGAGGTTCCCGGTGCGCGCGGCCTCCAGCAGCTCCTGCTCCTTCCCCATGGCCGGCGCGGCCCGGGCGCCCGCGCGACTTCCGGGGCAGGGCCGCGGCGGGGCGGGGCCGTAACCTGATGGGCGGGGACGAGGCGAGGCCTATGTGGTGGATGGTGAAATGGGCGTGGCCTCGTGCAGGCCCCGCCCCCACCGCTGCCCGAGGTCCTTCAGCCGCGCTCGTTTTGGGCGGGTCTGGGAAGGTTTCCCCTGCGGGGCCCGGGCAGCGGGGCCGCTCTAACCCCGTGTCCCGGCAGGGTCCGGATGTGGAGAGGGTGGCTCAGAGCGGAGCCGGCCGGTCCGAGAGCGCAGGGCCCGGGGATGAGCCCAGCAGAGGCCCCCCTCCACAGTCCCGCTGCCATGGCGACAAGCCCCGCCCCGCGCATCCCCTCGCGGCGCCCGTAGCTGTGCGTCATCACGGGGCGCCGTTGGCGAGCCGTTGGCATGGCGACATGCTCCGCCCAAATCGCGGCGCCCGTGGAGTACGTCATTAGGATGCGCTGCCGAGTCGCTATTGCCATGGCAATCGGCACCGACACCACCTCCCACCCCCGGCGCGGCGCTCGCAGTCCTTTGTCTTCAGGAGGTGCCGTCGCATCTCCGTTGCCATGACTACAGACTCCACGGGCCCCCAGCGTCGCTGGGAAGTGTGCGTCATCACGAGGCGCCACGCGTTACCGTTCCCGTGGCAATAGGCTCCGCCCGCTCCCGTAGTATTTCGTCATCAACACGCGCCGCGGCGCGGCTATGGCGGACCCGGCCCGGGATGTGCTCGGTGCCGCTACTGTCCCGGAGCCGCCGCCCGCAGGCTCATCCCCGCCCGCCGCCGGCGATGGGGTGGTGGCCGCGGGAGAAGCGGCAGTCGCAGAGGGAGCGAGAGAAGGCGAGGTGGGGGAGGCTGGCGGTGGCAGCGAGCTCAAGGCGGAGGTGGCGGACGGGGAGGTGAGGCGGGAGCGGGAGCGGGGCCGGGCCGGGCCGCGGGGCCGCAGAGCGAGCGCTGTTCTCTCGCCCAGGTGAGGAGCGCGGAGGGGGAGGCGGCGGACGCGGAGGACCCGGGGCTGCAGGCGTGTGCGGCCAGGAAGGTGAAGCTGGAGCTGAAGGAGCGGAAGGAGAAGAAGCAAAAAGTAGACGAGGATGAGATCCAGAAAATGCAGTAAGTGCCGGCGTGGCGGTGCCTGGGAGCTCGGGAATCGCGAGCCCGATCCCGAGCTCACCGCTCCCGATGCCTCGTCCCAGATTCCCCCTCCCACAGCGCTCCCCTCTCCTCCCGGCCCTGGGAGGGCCTTCCCGCGGCTCTAAATGATCGCCGTCTCCCCCGCAGGATCCTGGTCTCCTCCTTTTCCGAGGAGCAGCTGAACCGCTACGAGATGTATCGTCGCTCTGCCTTCCCCAAGGCCGCCATCAAGCGGGTACGAGGGAGGCAGCAAGAGCCGAGCGGGGCGGGCTGGGCTCAGCCCATTGTTCCGGGACAGCTGATCCCGATGGATTCCAGCTCAAATCCCCGCACCAAGAGCTGGTGCTGCAGCTCAGGCTGGGCCCCGAGCACCCCTGAGGGGCTGGGCGGGGCTGAGAGGTCACAGTGGGTGGGTCTCTGACTGTCCTCTCCTGTCCCTGTCCTAGCTCATCCAGTCCATCACCGGCACCTCCGTGTCCCAGAATGTCGTCATTGCCATGTCGGGCATCTCCAAGGTGTTTGTTGGGGAGGTGGTGGAGGAAGGTGAGTGGCACCTGCTGAGTGACAAGCGAAGGACCCGGGGTACATTCCCTGCTTGGAGCAGGACGTGGAACAGGACCAGGTTTTCCATGGTTCTCCCTTCCAGCAGCAGCCCCTCTGATCCCACCAGTGTTGCTGCTTCTCAGGCAGAGAACCTGGGGTGGCAGCTCTGTCCCTCAGCCCCAGAGCAACTGCATAATGAGGATCTTGCTAATGCTGCAGGGACAGAGGAGTTCCTTAAGCCTCTAAACCTGCCCCAGTCTTTCTTCATGGGATGAGCTCGGAGCAGTTTGGTACAGGGGCTGGGAGCTGAACCCGTGTTGTATCCACAGCCCACCCAGCCCCCAGGGCTCCAGAGCAGAGGCTCTGAGCTCATTCATCCCCTGGATCCAGCATCTCCACAGTGCCTGAGTGGTTTAGAAGCTTTTTGTCCTGGTTGCTGCCCTAGGACTCCTGTCAGGGAGGAGCTGGTGCAGCAGGTTCATTCCTGGCTCTGAGCTGCAAACCCCAAACACAAATATTACCTGTTTCAAACTGCACTGAAGCAGCAGCAGGGGTTGGGCAGAGCTCAGCTGGCCCCTGCCATGACCTCTCTCTCCCTTTGTCCAGCTCTGGATGTGTGTGAGAAGTGGGGGGAGCTGCCCCCCCTGCAGCCCAAGCACATGAGGGAGGCTGTCCGGAGGCTCAAGGCACGGGGGCAAATCCCCAACTCCAAGTACAAAAAGATCATCTTCCACTGACAAAGGTTGAAATGAGCTTTCTGTAGGAGGTTCCCAGATGGACTCTTCCATAAGGCCCCTTTGGGGTGGCCTGTGTGACCTCAAGGATGTTCCTGATGTCCACACTGGGCAGAGCCTGGATGCACTCTTCACCTGGACTTGAGGTCTCAACACAGCAGGGAGAGGAACATCCAGGGGCTGTAAAGCATTTCCTGCTCTGTGCCCAGATGTGTGGCTTTTTTTGTACATTAAACTTATTCTTGTGTTTGTAACCTGACTGGGATCTGCTTGTTGTGTGACCCAAGGTGCTCCCAGAGCTGCTCCCAGCCTGGGGCAGGGCTGGTTCCCTGGGAACATGTGCTGGGAGCTGGGACATCTGCAGTCATGGCTCAACTGTGCTTCCAAATTCAGTGCTCCAAATTCAGGAGCTGCCCTTAAAACAGCAGCATTGGGAAGGGGGGGGGGAGGGAAAAGCAAGAAAAGAGGCCCAAGCATGGAAGGAGGTTAATGAGTTTAATTTTGCTCGTGGTTCACAGAACCAATAAATGTATCAGTGGAAACAAACTGCAGCAAAGTTGCAATACTGCCTAAAATTCAAATTCAAGTTCAGACTTGCGCATCTCCTCTGTCCCCTTCCAGGGGCCCTGGGAGTTTCTCCTGACCCCGACTGTGAGAGGTGCTGAGGTCACGTGCTCTCCCACAGCACCTGTGCTGGGCAGGACTCCCTGGGCTCTCCCTGGAACAGAGGAAGAATCCTTCAATAAGAGGCTCCACAAAGTAAACTTTGATATTTACAATCTGTGGGGATCCAAGAGGTTTTGTCCTCCCATGTGTGTGGATTTTGGGTTACAGTCCTTTTTTCTGATTCTTCAGAGCAAAGGAAATGCTTGAATTCTTCAACAAAACCCACTGACTGAAGTTGCTGGAGCAAGGAATTTGCTGTAAACAACTTGGCCCCAGCTGTGCTCTGCCTGCACACATGGGAGGAGCTGTGGGACCCTGCAGGTGGGCAGCAGGGCTGGGCAAACCCTTGGCACACCCTTCCCATACTCACACAAAATGATAGGAAAATTTTAAAAAGCAGAAGAGAGAAACCTTCCATTTTCAAGCAATTAATGAAAAAAAAGCAGGAATACTGTGGCATTCCACCTCAGGCAAGAAGTTCTCGGAGCTCTTGCTCCCCACAGGGAGAGGGAGCTGCACAAAGGTTTGGTGAAACAAAATCCAACTTCTGCTTGCAGGCTCTGGGCAGTTCTCAGCAATGCTCACACAGAGCTGCTCCACACGGCTGTGTTCCACTGTTTTCCTTTTGGGATCAGGGCTGGCAGGTGGTTCTGGTGCCCCTCAGCCCTGCTGAAAGATACCACCCAGTGCTAAAAACCCCACAGCTCCTTCCTCAGCAGCTACGGCTGCTCCCCCTCCCCACTGGGGAACTCAGGCACACAAAGAACTGAGGACAGGGTGCATCCCAAAAATCACCCAGGTCATCTCCTGAGACTGAACCAACCTCCCTCACCCTGTTCTTTGATAGTAAACTTGGAATTTAAACAGTGCCTTGTAAGGAATTAATGCCTGCTTCAATAAAGCTGAACACTGGGATTAAGTGGGAATAAACTAAGTCTTATACACTGCATCCATTTCTACACAAGGAATTATTGGTGGAAAAGGGAATCTGAAGAAATTTCCATACTATCTTGACCCTCTTGTGGGATAGTGAGCTGTGTGCCCTCATTCCATAGTGGGAAGTCCCATCTCTGTTTCCAGGTGACGGCAGCCCTGCTCTCCCAGGAGAGCCCTGACCCTTCTGCCACCCCTGTCCTGTCACTGCCCAGGTGCTGAAGCGATCAACCTGCTCCTGCCGTGGCCCCTGGTGAGCACAGCTGGGCAAGAACACAACAAGGAAGGGTAAAAGAAGCAGAAACCCCAACATGGACCATCTCCAGATGTCACCATAAAAGCTGGAGGCTGAAAGCCACCCACAGATGAGGAGACATGGGGTGTCCCCCAACATCTGATCTGGTGTTTGTGGGCTGACCATGCCCTGGCTCAGTGTAGCACTCCCAGGCCAGAAGAGAGCAAACTCCTCCTCATTCTTCCGATTTGTCTCAGCCAGGCCCCCTCCCTCCCTCTCCCCAGTCCTCTGCAGTCACAGCTGCTTTAAGTCCTGGAGCTGGACCCGTTTGGCAGCGAAATGACCAAACCTGCCCTGCTGGTGCTGGTCCCCTGTCCCCGGCAGTGCCGGCGCTGTCAGAGCTGGAACAGGGGGTTGTACTTCCTGATCTCCTGAAGAAGGCGAGCCTTGTCCATGTTGGCTTCTGCCAGGGCCAGTTTCATGGTCTGGAGCTCCCTTTGCAACTCTGGCACTTGCTTGAGCTGCAAGAGACAGGCACAGAGCAAGGCAGAAGTCTTCAAGGTTCACAGTAAGCTGCTCCACAGAAAACCAAAGCAGGAGCTTTTGGGATGAATTACACAGTGATACACAACCACACCGACAGAACTCTTTTTGGGAACCTCTCAAGTCCTGTTTTTGTAACTGGAACTGGACACAGTGGGGAAGATGGAGACAATCAGAAAACAATCCCTAACCAGATTCTGAAAGAAAACAAGTGAGTTCAGGCTGGGCAAGGTGCTCTCACTCCTCAAAACACTCATAGGAGGAGGCCCAGGCTGCTCCTCGGGGTACTCCCTTCCTGCAGCTCCCCACACCTGCCCAGGACTGCAAACACATGAAGGCAAGAGAGAATTTCCAGCTCTCTGTTGTCCAGATAGCAACAGGCAGCAGTGACTCACCTGCAGCCCATGTGCTCCTCCTGTTGGGGCTGGTGAAACAGACTCTGATGGGGCCTTCTGCTCCTCAGGGACTGACACAGGTTTTTCCTGTTTCACTGAGTCCTTCCCCTGGGAAGCTGGAAAGCAACAGAACCCGCTCAGGTGTGGACATTCATACAACAGAGCTCTCAGAACAAAAAAGTAACTTTGATTCATTTCTTTCCTCCTTTTTTTTCCCCCCCTCTTTTTATACAGGGAAATAAAATTCTCTTTCCCCTTTTAAAATAGAGAAACTAAAAGGTAATAATGGGTCCAGTATGTGTATGCTTAAGGAAACATCAGACACGAATTCTCACACCAGAGAGAGGCAGGGACTGCTCCCACAGCAGGAAACACACACAAGGACTGATCCCTCCTCAGAGCCCATCCTTCCCAGCAGCAAGTTACTGACCTGTGAGATAGAAGATGCCGTCATCCCTGCGCCTCACCACGACGTGATCCATTGCCAAGGTGATTGGGACAGGGCCAGGGGAGGTGGGGTACACTGGGGGGCTGTCATCCTGGAGAAACATGAAGCACAGAAGGGATGAGCAGCTGTGACAGCTCTTGAAAGGACTTCCCTTGCCTGCAGCATCCTCAGGAGCAGCATTCCTGACCAGCAGCACCACCAGACTCACGGGGGTGAGTCCACTCTAGGGAAAGGCCTGGCTTTATGAACAGGGCGTACAGGTACGCACTTCCCTTGTGTTCCTCATTCATCCCTAGGGTAGCTTTCAGAAGCAAAACCAAACAGTCTCAGGAAAAGAGAAGCTCTACAGAGGCCCCCAGCAATCCCACAGCATTCCTTCCCAAGTGGAATCCTGTGAGTGAGCTCTGCCCTGGGGGGAATCTCTCACCTTCAACGTGATTTTGGCATCCACCACCTCTATCTCCATGGGGATCACCTCTGGGATGATTTCATCCTCGAGGAAGGGTCCCAGGCTGGTGAGGCAGGACATGCAGAGCTCTGTGGAGCGGCTGTGGAGCAGCACCCGGAGGAAGCCGTTGCGCTCAGCCAGTGGCGAGTGAGCAGCCGCGCATGGACCCGACTCCAGGCGTAGGCACACCTCGGGATGGGGCTGCCTGGGCTCAGGGCTCGCAGGCTTCTCCACACCTGGATCTCCTAGAGCTGGGGCAGAGAGATCTCGCTGCACAATAGGACACCAGTGATCAGATATCAGTTCAGAAGGCGCATCATGGAAAACCCGTTTCAGTCCAAAAGCAGCCGAGTGACCTTGGTCTGACATCATCCCTCACATGACAGAAATCCAAATTTCAAAGGACTAAGAGCCCACACCACTGAACTGGCACTGGAGCTGGACCATTTAAGGTCCCAGGCACATCCCTCTCTCACCACACTTTAAAACTTGCCCCTGTTTTGCATGTGCAGGACCTGGCCAATGCCTCATTCACTTTCCAGAGCTGCCCCAACTCTGCCCCCCAGAACTGTCCCAGCTGTCCTCCACAGTGTCCCAGCTCTGCCTCCACAGCTAACCCAGTGTCCTGGTTCACTCTCCAGAGCTGACCAGTCTTTCCTCATCCCTTTGCTTCACCATGGCCACTGGCAGGACTGGGAAAGGCAGGATCAGCAGCCTGGAAACTACTCACACTTTCACTTCAGCTTTGGGGTTGGAGCTACTTTTAGTTTTGTTTGGGTTACATTTTATGGGGCGTTGGGGGGATAGTTGATTGCTTTTAGGTTTGGCTTGGTTTTTTGTTTTTTCTTTTAATTCAAATTTAGAGGAAGTACTGTAGACCAAAAGTATTTTTCTCAGAGCAGGAATAACTTCATGGTTTCCCTGGATTGTTTTATTCACTCTTTTCATGCATCCTAGCAGCAATTTAAAAAATCCCAGTCAATGATTACTAGGCACCACAGAGCCTGACTGTGTAGGCACTTGGGAAACATCTTTCAAATGCCAGATCTGAATCCTCACACATGAGTTGTTAGGGTGTAACCACCCTAAACACTGAGGCCCCAGTTAATGGAATATTCCCTGAGGGAGGCTGGTATAAAAGCCACTTCTAACAGTGCAGCTGAGTCCCAGAGCAGCATCTTACCCACGTAGCCACGCAGGAACTGCCACATGCCAACGTTGTTCAGCTGCTCTGGAACCATGTTCATCACTTGTAAAGCCACAGACAAATCATCTCCTTGTACTTCTATTGCACAGTTCACATCATTCATCTTCAGCATGAGAACAGACACCTGGAACAGCCACCAAGAGCTCACTGGTTACAGCAAACACCTCGCTTCCAGAGCCCCTCAGGGACAGAATCCCAGTGCCAGGTACTGACCAGCTGCAGACTGGGGTCTTCACTCTGGGACGTGGAGCTGTTCACCTCAGGTGACACTCCACCCTCGTCCTCTGCCACCAGGCTGCTTCTGCTGCCCGTGTCATTGTGGGCCTGGGGAAGCTGCCCTGAAGAAAGAGGGTCCAGGCTGG